CTGAACCTACATTCGTATAAATAGAATGTTCTGCGAACTACATATTTACACTTTCATTTAAGGTACATGACTAAATTATCAACACACTACCAGATTCACCATCTGATAAACCACTGCACTTAGACTGAGTGCATCCATGTCTATATCACTGTCCATTGCGTTCTCTTCATGCGTATCCGATGCGTTGTCCATCTCACTGTTCTCCTGAACCTACATTCGTATAAATAGAATGTTCTGCGAACTACATATTTACACTTTCATTTAAGGTACATGACTAAATTATTAACACACTACCAGATTCACCATCTGATAAACCACTGCACTTAGACTGAGTGCATCCATGTCTATATCACTGTCCATTGCGTTTTCTTCATGCGCATCCGATGCGTTGTCCATCTCACTGTTCTCCTGAACCTACATTCGTACAAATAGAATGTTCTGGGAATTACACATTTACACTTTCATTTAAGGTACATGACTAAATTATCAACACACTACCGGATTCACCATCTGATAAAACACTGCACTTAGACTGAGTGCATCTATGTCTATATCACTGTCCATTGCGTTCTCTTCATTCGCATCCGATGCGTTGTTCATCTCACTGTTCTCGCGAACCTACATTCGTATAAATAGAATGTTCGGCGAATTACACATTTACACTCTCATTTAAGGTACATGACTAAATTATCAACACACTACCGGATTCACCATCTGATAAAACAATGCACTTAGACTGAGTGCATCCATGTCTATATCACTGTCCATTGCGTTCTCTTCATGCGCATCCGATGCGTTGTCCATCTCACTGTTCTCCTGAACTTACATTCGTATAAATATAATGTTCTGGGAATTACACATTTACACTTTCATTGAAGGTAAATGACTAAATTATCAACACAGTACCGGATTCACCATCTAATAAAACACTGCACTTAGACTGAGTGCTTCCATGTCTATATCACTGTCCATTGTGTTCTCTTCATGCGCATCCGATGCGTTGTCCATCTCACTGTTCTCCTGAACCTACATTCGTATAAATAGAATGTTCTGCGAATTACACATTTACACTTTCATTTAAGGTAAATGACTAAATTATCAACACACTACCGGATTCACCATCTGATAAAATACTGCACTTAGACTGAGTGCTTCCATGTCTATATCACTGTCCATTGCGTTCTCTTCATGCGTATCCGATGCGTTGTCCATCTCACTGTTCTCCTGAACCTACATTCGTATAAATAGAATGTTCTGCGAATTACACATTTACACTTTATTTAAGGTACATGACTAAATTATCAACACACTACCGAATTCACCATCTGATAAAACACTGCACTTAGACTGAGTGCATCCATGTCTATATCACTGTCCATTGCGTTCTCTTCATGCGCATCTGATGCATTGTCCATCTCACTGTTCTCCTGAACCTACATTCGTATAAATAGAATGTTTTGGGAATTACACATTTACACTCTCATTTAAGGTATATGACTAAATTATCAACACACTACCGGATTCACCATCTGATAAAACAATGCACTTAGACTGAGTGCATCCATGTCTATATCACTGTTCATTGGGTTCTCTTCATCCGCATCCGATGTGTTGTCCATCTCACTGTTCTCCTGAACCTACATTCGTATAAATAGAATGTTCTGCGAATTACACATTTACACTTTCATTTAAGGTAAATGACTAAATTATCAACATACTACCAGATTCACCATCTGATAAAACACTGCACTTAGACTGAGTGCTTCCATGTCTATATCACTGTCCATTGCGTTCTCTTCATGCGCATCCGATGCGTTGTCCATCTCACTGTTCTCCTGAACCTACATTTGTATAAATAGAATGTTCTGGGAATTACACATTTACACTTTCATTTAAAGTAAATGACTAAATTATCAACACACTACCGTATTCACCATCTGATAAAACACTTCACTTAGACTAAGTGCATCCACGTCTATACCGGTGTTCATTGCATTCTCTTCATGCGCATCCGAGGCGTTGTCCATCTCACTTCTCCTGAAGCTGCAATGCGAGCTCTAAGTTCCAGAGAACATCTCCCATAGTCGGCCTCTCTCTGCTCTGGTCTAGTAGACACTTCATCGCGGTCTCAGCGAATTTGTTGAAGCTTTCTGGTGTGATCTTTCCCTTGAGATGAGGATCGAGGATCTTCTCAAGCCTGCCTTTCTTGTAGCAGTATTGCGCCCACTCTGCTAAAAGGACTTGCTCATCCGGTAATGTCACGTTCAAAGCCCACCATGCACATAAGTCCTCACAAAGGACAACACCAAAGGAGTAGACATCAGATTTGATGGTCAAAGTTTGCCTCCTTAAGTATTCGGGGTCGAGATAACCGTGAGTTCCTTTCACATTTGTGCTTCCATGAGTGTCGTCAAGTGTAGGCCCAGTCTTTGCAAGACCGAAGTGCGAGAACTTGGCAACCATGTTTTCGTCGAGCACTATATTGGTTGTTTAACATCTCGGTGGATGATCGCCTGATTGGCACCAGTGTGCAGGTAGTGAAGTCCTCGAGCTGCCCCAACTGAAAGAAGAAGGCGTGTCTTCCATGAAAGAGGGAGAGTTCAGTGTCTCGTAGAGATGATCTCTCATTGTCTCATGAGCCATGTAATGATACACGAGTATCATCTCAGAATTTTCATCACAGTATCCAATCAAGGACACTAGGTGTCGATGTCGTAGCTTGGAGAGCATTTCAATCTCTGCGTTGAACTTATGACGACCTTGCGCAGACAGAGGGTTAGATCGCTTGATAGCCAGCGTTGTAGTTCGACCATCAATCTCCCCTCTGTAGACATTTCCAAAGCCCCCAACACCGATAACGCGAGAAGACTCAAAATTTTGAGTCGCTTCGTTGTTTTCACCCAATGTAAAGTGATGACATCCTTATGTTTGATCACCACGATCACCACCAACCTTCTTGCTACGTCGGAGGTAAACTCCAACAACTAAGCCGACAACGAGAGCGCCTAAGATTACTTGCAAACTCCACCACCAACAATAGCTCTTTGAACTCTGCGGTTCTTGGACCTACTTCTTTGGTCAATCACGTGTGGACCCACTGAAGGATTAGAGCCAAAATTTCCATTAGAACTATTCTGTTTGAAAATCTCAATGCCATTTAGAAAAGCATCTGCGTAGTCCGTCATATTCCCGGCTGTCGGATGAAGAGAAATCCAAATAAATTGTTTTACCTTACCAAGAGTAGACTCTACAAGGTAATCCTTGTGAATCGGTATTTCTGCTCCCCTTACCCATGCCACTACATCGAAGTTTGCTTCGGCTGTTTCGTTATTCAGATATATAGAAAATATTCTATGACTATTCCCCATATACACTTCACAAAATTGTAATCTCACCATATACTTGAAACCAGATTCCACTTCAAAACTCCAGGTCAGGTTGTGGTCTCTATTCCGTTCGGGGCATCGACCTGCCGTCAGATAAAGATCTAACGGAGCCATGTACTCCACTGTTCCTTTGGGGTATTTGAGTGACATTTCCGGTCCCGCTGTCTCAGTATAATCAGGCCTCTCGGAATAGAAAAAAGAGTCGTCTTTCCAGTGTCGGTAAAGAGGGTCTTGGGAACTTGACAGATCTTCACCTCCTACATTCAGCCGGTAGAGATTTTCCAGTGCGGTGCTGTTATCAAGTATTACAGCAGTTGACGTGGAGATATGCCGAGCCCAGGAGGGTCATGTCCGTGGAGATAAACAAGTCCTTCCAGGATCTGCCGAGCCCAGGATTTGATTTCTCGGATATCTATCCGTATGTACTTATTTTTATATCTACACAAGAAAAGAGACATGTTCATACAGAGAAAACTTTTTAGAACAAAAAAGGTGTAAGAGAATTTACTGTCGGAGGGTTCCAGAAGTGAACAACTCGGTGATGAAGTTGAGAGTATGGGAGTGAACATCGATTTAAGAAGTGTAGAAACGAATGATAGATTTGTGGTTTACCGTGCTGAGAAGATGAACCTCTGAGTATAGTCTCTGTAGATCAACAGAAGAATGTAGAACCTCTTTTAGCTTTACCTGGCTCCACGCTACTTCTATTCTCATCAGAACATAAGTGGGGAACATACAAGGAGAAAGAAGAGAATATAATGAAAGTGACATCACCGTTGAACATTTGATTTTTTATTGGCGGCGACTGCCTTCAGCAGCCTTCATGGAGTTGGAGGTTCTTTAATAAACATAACAAATACGCATAAACCAATATGTATCTTCATAAGCTTAATTGGCTTTGTGTCTAAGGAAGGTCAGAATGTTGGCAATGATAAGTTAATGCGTATTTGACTACAGTTTTGTTGTGTTTAGATGGTGTTTGACACGTGGAAAAGTAGAGATAGAGAGACAAAGATGGTTGGAAAATGAAGATAAGGATGGAACATATCCCAAACAAGAACAGGCGTATATGTTTGACACTGACTACAACAAAGGTTGCAGGTAGAATACTCTCATGAGGCCATGGGCATTATCATTATATTCTGCTCATTCATCATTACCATTCACCACACAAAAGATATAAAAGCCCTTTCTCCACAATCATCTCCACAGTTGGCACGGAAGCAAAACTCCACAGCAATTCAAAACCCATAGGGCAAGATTCCGACAGTTGTTGTTACCCATACCGAACTAAATTCCTCCATTTATCCTTCAGATCCACCTACCAAGTTACAACCCTTTATATTACTCACACTTTGCATATTACTAATTCAGGTAACTAATGAGTATGAATGTAAGCAAAATGATGCGCTCACCTCAGTCCTCTCTGCGAATAATGTAGGGTTTGCATTTTTTATAGCTTTCCATGGTTTACCATACTTTACACAACAACAACAAAATGACAATGTTTTGAAACTTGATGTGTATCAGCATTGAATACTGATAATAGAGTAGTGGACTTGACTAAAGAGTGGTGCATACTCTTTTACTCCTTCCCTCAGAGCTTCCACTTCTTCAGGCGTCCAGTATTTGTTTGTCCTTCTGACAGAGGAATTCGTTCTTCAACAGGTTAGATAGACAAGGCCGAACTCTTTCAGACAATGTTCCCTGACTACTCAAACTTTTATCACTTGCATTATCCTGTTGCTTCACAATTAAAACCACAACTTCATGAACCAAACAACAAGACTTTTCCAGATTATACAGAAGGAAAAATTCGCCAACACTCGCAGGTGTTTCAGTGTGGTCATGACCGCTTGCTCCACTCCTATTAACCCTTGCAGTCTGAGAAATGACATCTACTAAGTGGTCGATTTGGTTTGGTACTTGCATTTTCCTAGTGGAGGGTTCGATTTGTCGTTGAATATCTAACAAATAATCCTTCAGCTCCCGAGCAGCCAGATTGTTCCCTTTATCAAGACTTTGCTCATGTTCTTGTTCTTGTGTACCCATTGTCCTCTCATATTGTTCATACTCCTTATCAATCTCCAGACATCCCACTCCTTCAACATCTCTATTGTGCCCATTCTCGTTCTTCTCTCCATCACCGCTTCCACGCTCAATGTTGTCACTCTCCAAATGCCCCGTCCTTTCATCACCAACACCATTTAAAACCTTGCTCCAATTGAGGAACTCCCCAGTAGTAGTAGTGCCCACTGCTCTTTTACAAGCTGACTTAAAAAGGAGATGTCAGTGTACCTAACGTTGCTCTCACGAAGCCGCTTATACATCTCAGGATCCTCAACAGCCTTCTTCAGATCACTCTCCTATTTCAACAACTCATCGCTCTCTAAACCGCTCCCACTCTCTTTCAAAACCCCAATCCTTTTCGTCCATATCCTCTCAACAGAGTCCGTGAACAAACCATCCGAAGAAGGATCCAACGGCCACATGAATCTAAGCGTGCACTCAACAGCCGTCCAGCAATAAGCAGACTTGTGAGACTCCTTGAGTACCGAACTTTGAAGCTTCTCGAGAATCTCGAGTAGGTCAAGCGTCCCCTCGTCGACCTTACCACGGATCAAGGAATCAGAGATTTTCGTCAGAACAGAATATGCCTTGAGCTTTAAAAATCGGCGGAATCTCTAAATCGCAGGTTAGTAGTAGGAGGAGAAACCCTAGGATTGTATTGACGGCGGATGGCAAATTCATCAATCCATTTTTCCTTACCCTACATTTTTGTTTGGTTTCCAAATATGAATTTTTGCAATTTCGCCGGAGAAAAGGAATAGCTCCGAACAGACGTTTCAGATATTGTGTAGGAACACGAACGGTTTCAGATTAAAATATACTAGATTCTTTGATGATATAAAATGTCTTCTATTTAATATAATTTTTTCAAATTAATGCAGATTTTAATTTATTGTTATCATCAATATCAATGTAAATGTATTGCATGTAATTATGTAGTTTTACTATGGGAAAATAATGTCAATTAACTACGTCTAGTGTTCGGAAGCGGGTCAAACTCACCCTGCCTGACCCGCTTGACCCGCAAAGAAAACATATTTTATCTGCATCCGTCTCACTTAATTTTATGGATAATCCGCAGGATCCGTAGATAATTATTTTAACGAAATTTGTTATTTTGAAAATTAAATTTTTAAAAACATTTTTCTATTTTTGCGTATTACTAGGTACCCGCAATTGAAATTAGAACATTCTGCACCCGTTCTGCGTAAAATACATGGGGGATTTGCCAAAACCAACCTAAAATTTCATTTCAACCCTAAAGGTGTACCCCTTATTGAGTCAAATGCAAAACCAACCTAAAGGGGTTATGAAGTTACTACTTAACCCTTGTGACCAAACAAAAAAACAGACAGTTATTTTACGATTATGTCCTTCGTAGGTCTACACTTTAAGAAAGAAGTCTACAACTAGGTAGACTTATATTAACGTCTACTGTGTAAACTAATGTAGACTTATTATTTAGTCTACATCTTAATTTAATCAAATAATTTAATTTTAAAAATGTAGAAAAAATGTTTTTGGTAATTTTTTTAATAAATCATCAATTTAAAGGTTAGTATGAGGTAGATAAATTAAATTTTCTTATAATTGAACAATTTTAAAGAATGTATATTGATTTGGGAACTATGTGGTACACAATGTTAATGGTTTAGCAAACAAAGGTTCTAACATGTTATGTCTTTTAGAGTTAGATTATAAGGGTTAGATTCTAGATTTAGAATTATTTTGTTTTAATGATTCAAAATTGCATATTTAATGTTGAGTAGTTTATATTTTGTATATATGATATTTGGTACAATGACTAAGATTTGTTTTATAATCAATCAAATGTTTAGGGTTTGAGATTTGGGGTTTAGGGTTTGACATTTCTGGTTTAGGGTTTAGTAGACTTACAGTTACGTCTACTGATATGTAGATGTCTATTTCAGTCTACGTTAATTTGTGTTTACCAAAATAAATTATTTTAAAATTAAAATTAACTAAGCGGGAAATGAAAATGAATTTTGGAGCCTATTTTTTCATATTGGCGCCAATATTTAGGGTATAGTAGACTTACACTAAAGTCTACTTATATGTAGACGTCTATTTCAGTCTACATTAATTGGTGTTTATCAAAAAATATATTTTAAAATTAAAATTAATTAAGCGGGAATCGAAAATGAATTTTGGAGCCTATTTTTCCCTATTGGCGCCAATACTTACGGTAAACTCTACTACGTCTCTTTTAGTCTACTATAATTGGTGATTACAAAAAAAAATTAAAATTAAATTTATTTATTTATGAATTAAAATGTGAATTAAAATTTTATCAACAAAAAATATATACTAACTCTACTAAATATATAATGAAAATGAAAATTTTAGATTATATATTATAAACTATTTAAACAATAAAGAAAAATATTATAGTAGACTTCTTTGGAAGTCTACCTAACCTAAAACTTTAACCAAATAATTTTAACCAAACTAAAATTAAACCAAAGAGTTTTAACCTAACCAGAAAAAGGACTTGACGTATAAATACTCTTTTTATTAAAAAAAAGGCTAAAAAAAAAAAGACGCCTCTCTCTCTCTCTCTCTCGCCTCTCTCTCTCGCCTCTCTCTCTCGCCTCCAAGCTTCAGATCTGTTGAGTACACAGCCATCACTTGCAGATCCCACAGCGCCTCAATAACAGACTTCGGTGGCGTCAGAGACGGCAAAACACTGAACACAAAGGCTTTCCAGAGCGCCGTAGATCATCTCAGCCAATACTCATCCGACGGTGGAGCTCAGCTCTTTGTC